TGGTGGGACTGAAGACCCCCCTGCTTAGGGGGCTGCTCTACAGTGGAGAGGGTCTGCTCACACAGCAGACCCTACATCTGGACATCTACAGAAGTGCTGCTGGGGGCTGATCAAGATCTCAGCCCACCCTCTCTCCTCCAACTGGCTGYTGCAGCAAAGACCAAGACCCTCCTGGTCTTGATGTACCTTGTGCCCTTGGAGACACCAAGGGCCAGGTATCACTCCCTTCTCCCCTCTTCCTCTACTAACCCACTCTCCTCTTACTCACCCCTTCTCTTTCCCCACCTTCCACTGCATCTTTTCTTTCCTCCTTTCATCTTCCCCACCCCACCTTTCTCCCACCACCCATTCTTTTACTTTATTTTCTTCATCTCTCCTTTTCTTTCCTTCTTTCTCCTTCTTTCTTGATCCTTATCCATCTTTCCTCATCCCTCCTCTCCCCCAACTACCTCCCTCTTTATCTTTTTCTCTCCCCCCACCTATTTTTTTTTTTTCTCCTTCACTTTTTCATTCCCCTTCCCCCCTACTTCGAATTTTTTTTCCTGTTTTTCTTCTTTTCACCTCTCTTTTGATTTATCTTTTCTCTTTTCCAAAAATTCGAAATCTCTTCTTTCCCACCCTCTTTTTCTGATTTTCTTATTTATTTCATTTATTTTTCTATTTATTCTGGAAATTCGATTTTCTCTACAGCAACCCTAAATCTGATTAGTTGTTAGTTTTCTCATCTTCTTCCCCACCCTCTTTTCTTATTTTTTGATTTATTTTATTTATTTTTATTTATTCTGAAAATTCGAATTTCTTGGCGGCAACCCTAAATCTGATTAGCTGTAATCCTTTCTTGCTTTCGGCACAAGTTTTGGCCTCGTGGGGGTAACGAAGTGTTGCCAAAATTTTTTGATTTTCTCTTACTTAGTCTTTTCGGCACACTTCGACCCCATGGGGGTAACGAAATGCTGCCAAAATTTTTGAAAAATCAGATAACCCATTTCTCCCCACCTCCTCGCATATTTATTTATTTATTTATTATTTCTTTATTTATTTCCTGAAATTTCTTTTCATTATTTGCGGCATCTCTAGTGTGCTCACCTTGGTCTCTCATTTTCCCTTGGCACATTCTTGACCCCGTGGGAAGTAGGAAAATGCTGCCAAAAATTAATATAAAAAATCAATAATAATAATAAAAATAAAACTTTTACTTATTTTTTTAATTAATTTTATTATTTATTTATTTTCTTATTTAWTTTTATTTCCTCTCGAAATCTCGCAGCTTATTTATTTTTCTCCCGCCTTCCCCCCCCCCTATGCTTGCTCTTTTACTTTCTTGATTAGGTCACCGGTACCCTACCCTAACCACTTAAACCTCGGTTAGGGTTTTCCTTAGGGTTTTTATAGGGTTTAGGGTTCCTCAAAACCCCCCTACTTCCCCGTCCTCTTCGGGCACCCTGGACCCGAACCACCCCTCCCCCTTTGACAGCGCCCGTGTTAGTCTTGCTAGCTCCGTTCGCCGCTTTCTACCGCGGACTTCCCCCTACGCCCTCCGCTCACGCGGACCTCTTCTGGCCCCCTCCAGTCCGGTCCGTCATCTCCCCATGGCCGACGGTGCGTCACACGCCGCCGACACGGCGATGACCACGGCATTGGGCTCCACACCCGTGCCGACGGACCAGGGCCATCAGCCCCAGGGGGATCTACACACCCTCCTCACCTCCCTCCTTGCGCCCATCCAGGCGCAACTCGCGACCCTTGCGCCCATCCAGGCGCAACTCGCGGCCCTCGCGCCCTTACAAGCGCAGGTGGCGACCCTTGCCGCCGGCATGCAGCAATTCCAGGACGCTGCGTGTCCGTCATCTCTTGGCTCCCAGTCCGGGTCCCCCGTCCTCCGACAGGGTGGCCACAGCGGAGCTTCCTCCTCCGTTGCCCCTGACACGACCATCTTGGTGACTATCCACGCCCCTAGCACGACGGCCGCCACGAGCCAGGCCCCCGCTCAGTCTACGGGCGCACCCGCCCAGATCCCGGTCACTACGGCCACGGTACAACAACCCGCTACCATGGTCTCAGCTTGTTCGGGTGCCCCGCTTCTCCCTCCCCTTCGCACGACCGCAGCGCCACCTGGCTCTCCCCCCTCTGGGATGCCCCGCGCCGTTTGTGCGTCCACCCCCTCCACTCTACCTCCCGCCACCCCTCGATCGACCTACGTTCGAGGTCTCGCAGACGAGATTGCCCAGCTCCGGGCAACCTCGCCCTCTTACGACTTTAGCCACCCCCACCCTCACAGGTGGCCGCGCCTTCGGGCGCACCCCCTACCTCCTCTACCCTTCCTCCCATGCAGGCTCACTTTCCGCGCTCTGCACCCTATATAACTCCTTCCTACCTTCTTTCTACTCCCGCGGTTGTTGCGACCTCTTCTACCGCAGCACCCTCGCAACCTGCTGTTGTTGCCACCACCGCTCCCCCATGCGGCCCGGGCGCACAGTCGGCTGCGCCCCTTTCTCCAGGACCTGCGCCGACTTACTCAGCCGTGGCACAGGCCTCCGCTCCTTGATCCCCTCGCCGCCAAAACGGTGGCGCACCACTCATCTGCTTGTCGAACATCGCCTTGTATGACGGTACAGGGATACGCATGTCTCGGTGGCTGCAGTCTGCCACCCACACACTCCAGCTCATGGGTGCCACACCCGAGACGTGGGTGGGTCACCTCTCCACGCGCCTGCGTGGAGGTCCTTTCGAGGCCTGGGAGGGTTTCTATGCCTACTCCCTTCGTGAGGGTCGGACTCCGACCCTCGTGGATTTCCAGGCGTTCCTCGAGGATCGCTTCAAGCCTGATACGACGTGACTGACGCCTTTGAGCGTGTCGTCACTACACGCTGGTCCGGCTCTGGTGGCGCTGCAGGCCTGGATCGCCACATCCAGGTCTTTTAGAACGCCCGCCTCGTTTGCGACGTGGCGTTCCTCCCCAAGGCTGCCCTTATCGATCGTTTCTTGGCCAGCCTTCCGCTCGAGTACCGCTCCGAGCTATGGCGGTACGAGTTCACATCGGCCCCACAGGCTTACGAGGCCGCCAGGGACCACCAGCGGATGCGAGCCTGTCTTCACCCCGCCTCCTCCTCCCAGCCCCAGCGCACGACCTACGCCTCCTCCTCCTCTCACGGCACACCCCAGCGCCGTTCCCCTTTCCACGGTCGCCCCCGCCGTTCCACGCAGCAGGGCCGCCACTTCTCGCGCCGCTTTAGCGCACTGGAGTATGGTGAGCAGGACGCTGTTGCCCCTCTGTCACCTGAGGGCGACCACAACGACGACCTCGATCTCTGCGAGGCCGTCCACTATCACTTGGAGGACTCTACCCTCCCTGCAGCTGAGCGCCTTCAGCTCGCGCTCTCCGCCCTCTCTCGGGCACACAGCCGCCCCGGTCACGCTGGCTCGTCGCCCCCTGAGGTCCCTCAAGAGGACCTCCCTCAGGGCTTCGTCCCTCTTCGCGGTGTCCTTTTCGCTGAGGAGCGCGCGGCTATTCTGGGCCGACCTGGGTGTTTGCGCTGCCGTTTGGACGGTCATACCTCCTCGCGGTGCCCTTACAGTACCGCTCTCGACCGCCACTACGCTGACCTTTCTCGTCAGCGTCGTGCTCAGTCCCCCCCTGGCGCCTCACGTCCCCGCAGCTCCTCCTAGCCACGGTGCAGTGTACACCTGCGCCCTCCTCAGTAGTGGACTTCCCGACATCTCCGTCGCAGTTCGCCCCTCTCGCTACTGGAGTTGAGGTATCGCAGGACTCGACAGAGTGTACTCAGCCCTCTGTCGCAGTACCGTCTGCGCCTCCGCAGACCACCGTCTCCCCTCCTTCCCCGCCGCGATTACCGACGCGTCGAGCCATTCGCTCAGCCCATTGCAGCAAGCAGCTTGCTACTCGCGAGGACGTTGTGTCCTCTCTTCTGGACTTGAGCATGCTCCAGGCTCGTCAGGAGCGACTCACCCTCAATGTCGCTGCACTGCGTCGCCTTCTCGCTATCCTCTCTGACCCTAATCGCACCCTCCTGATCATCCCAGTACGACTCGGGACCTCCACGAGGGTGTACTCAGCGTTGTGGGATTCCGGTTCTCAGGGCGACTTCATTCACCCACGCGTGGTAAAGGAAGCCCGCTTACCCACGACAGGGTCTCTGACTCCCATCTCCGTTACCCTAGGGGATGACAAGACTCAGCGCTTCTTCGATCAGACGGTCACCGACCTCCCCTTCTTCCTCACTCTCGAGCCGACTGAGCGTTCCCCGGCGTCTCGTCGCCTCCGCTCCTCTGCACATTTCGAAGTGATGGAGACGGGATACGGCTCCATTCTCGGCACTCCGTGGTCTCGTCGGTTCCGCAACACCGAGGCCAATTGGGCGACCAACACTCTCGTTCTCAAAACGAAGAGTGGACAGACGTATCGCGTACCTTTCATAGGTACCACGGCGATACCACGCCCCGATCCTCCTCCCCCGGAGCCGTCAGTGCCCACACCATCCCCCTCTATCACTGTCACCTCGCCACGGCAGTTCGCTCACTTCATTCGATAGGACGACGTCACCTTCTTTATGGTGGACGTGATGAATCTCTTGCACTATGATCCACCCTGTCCCGACACCGAGCTCATCCCTCTGGAGCTAGATCCTCCCTCTATCTCCATGGCTCTCATCTCTACTTCCGTCTCTCCGCCGTCCGTCGAGTCCACCCTGCCGTCGGGCGCTGATGCTGACGCTGAGGAACTCGCACGATATACGGCTGACCTGGAGCCCGCAGTTCGTGACCTCATCCGAGAGTACCACGACGTTTTCTCATCGTCGTTCTCGTATGCCGGCATCCCATCGATGCGTAACGTCGAGCACTCCATTCAACTTGTGCCTGACTATCGTGTTCACCACCAGGCACCCTACAGACTCTCGATTCCCGACGCCACCGAACTCGAGCGTTTGCTTGAGGAGCTCCTCAGACTGGGTTTCATTAAACCCAGCAACTCGTCGTGGGGTGCACCCGTCCTCTTTGCTCGTAAAGCGGATGAAACTCTCCGTCTCTGCATCGACTATCACGGTCTCAAGCGCTACACGGTTAAGAACAGCTACCCCATGCCTCTTTCCGATGAGTTGTTCGACCGCTTAGCAGGCAACCGCTTCTTTACGAAGATTGATCTTCGTAGCGGTTACCATCAGATCCGCGTCGCTGCAGCCGACCAGCCGAAGACAGCGTTCCGATCGCGCTTCGGCCACTACGAGTTTACGGTGATGCCATTCGGCCTCACCAATGCACCCGCCACCTTCCAGAGGGCAATGAACGACATTTTCAGGGACATCCTGGAGCAGTACGTTCTCGTCTACCTCGATGATATCCTGGTCTACAGTCGTACCCTTGAGGAGCACCTTAGACACCTCCGCGATGTCCTTGACCGCTTGAGCAGACATGGCTTCTACGCCAAGCTGAGCAAGTGCCGCTTTGCCCAGCACAAAGTGGATTTCTTAGGACACTATGTGTCTGACCAGGGTCTCCATTTGAACGACGCGAAGATCACTACTATTGCGGAGTGGCCCGCCCCCACATCCGCCAAGCAGCTTCGCAGCTTCCTAGGCCTGACCAGCTACTATAGTAACTTCATCCAGGGATACGCTAGGTATTCCTACATCCTTACCTCCACCCTCCTTCGGAAGAACCCACCCTGGGCTTGGACACCCCTCCACGAGGACGCCTTCCACGCGCTCAAGAAGGCGGTGACATAGGCACCGGTTCTTCACCTACCCGATTTTGACCGCCCTTTTATCCTTACCACCGATGCGTCAGACTTCGCTGTAGGAGCAGTACTTTCTTAAGTCTTCCCCTCCTCTCGTGATTCCTCGCATCCTCGTATCCCTCGCTTCCCACCACCTACCCCTACCACTGCTTCCCGACTGACGCCTACTCGTCCAGCTACTGACGAGCCTTTTATTGACTATTCTCCTACCATCGCCGAGGACGGCACTGTCGAGTCTCGCTCCGGTGATTGTCCGATAGCCTTCTACTCCCGTCAGCTCCTGCCCGCCGAGATAAACTACACCGCTGATGAACGTGAGGTTCTCGCAGTAGTTTATGCCGCTCGGCACTGGCGTCACTACCTGCACAGGGCACCATTCACGGTGCGCACGGACAACTCTGTTGTCCAGGCTTTTCTGACAAAGCCGAAGCTCACTCCTCGACAGGCTTGCTGGTGGCGCGACCTATCCGAGTTTAGTTTCACCACTGAGCACATCAAGGGTGAGCCTAATCGGGTCGCAGATGCCCTATCCCGGCGCCCGGACCACGACCAGGAGCACATCCAGCTCTCTTCCATCTCGGTCACCATCGTCCACCACTCGGTGACAGACGAGTTTCACACTCAGTACCGCCACTGCCCCGACTATCGCGACATCCACGCGACCTTTCGGAGTGGCAAGACCGTCCCGAACTACTCTCTCGGGGACAACGGTCTTGTGTACTGGCACGGTTCACAGGGCACCAGAGAGCCCCGTATTTGCGTTCCCTCCACTGGACAGCTACGTGTCCGAGCAGTAGCAGAGTTCCATGACCAGGCAGCTGCCGGTCATATCGGCTTCCACACGATGTTGGCTCGTGTGAGCCGCCTGTACGTCTGGCCTAAACGCAAGGACTTTGTGAAGGACTACGTCGCAGAGTGTTCCACCTGTCAGGAGGTGAACAGTGCGAACCACCTGCCTTATGGTTTGCTCCAGCCTCTTCCTATCCCTGAGGGTCGTTGGCAGTCCATCTCGATGGACTTTATCGGTCCTCTTCGTCCTCCGACCCCTCGCAGTCATGATGCTATCCTGGTCGTCATCGACCGCTTCACGAAGCGTGCACGCTTTGTTCCGTGCCGCTATGCCATCAGTGCACGTGAGGTGGCCGACATCGTGTTTGACCGAGTCGTGCGTGACCACGGCTTAACTCTGAGCATCATATCTGACCGTGACCCGCGCTTTACCACCCGATTCTGGCGACGGCTCCACGAGGTGTACGACACTCAGCTCCGCGTCTCCTCGTCTTACCATCCTCAGACAGATGGTCAGACCAAGATCACGAACAGGACTCTCGGAGATATTCTCCGAAAGATTGTTCGTGACGACCAGAAGTGGGATCTCCATCTTGCCCACGCGGAGATAGCCTACAACCACGCCGTCTCGCTAGCCACGGGGATGTCGCCTTACTATTGCGACCTCGGCTATCACCCTCATGTTCCCGCGGACTTCCTTCGACCATCCCAGCTGCACCCCGACACGAGTTGTCCCGCGCTGGACGATTGGGTTGCACACATGACGTCGATCATGAAGACCGCACATGARCACATAGCCGCTTCCCAGACTCRCATGGCARCACATGCGAACCGATCGAGGATGGATCATTCATTCAAAGTCGGTGATGATGTGCTTATCGACGCCCGCCACTTACAGCTCGAAGCGGACACGCTTCGCAAGTTTCGACGTCGCTTCTTTGGCCCATGCCGCATCCTCCAGGCCGTCGGTTCTGATACGGCATCTAGCCCGGTCAGCTTCCGTGTGAAGCTGCCCGACTACCTACGCCAGACTCTTGTGCACAATGTTTACCACATCTCGTTACTGCGTCCTTACCGCAGACCGTCTGAGCGTTTCACCGGACGACCATACGAGCGCCCTCCACCCATCATGGTGGACGGTCACGAGGAGTTCCTCGTTTTAGACATCATTGGTCACCGAGTCACCGACGATAACCCTCCCCACGTCGGGTATCTCGTATGTTGGAAGGGTTACCCAGATGAGGAGGCTACCTGGGAGCTCCTCGAGCACTTTCAGCACGCTCGCATGTTGGTGCGTGCATATGACCGTGCTCGTCGTGCTGGGTTCACTGCTCCTCCTCAGCTCACGGACCCTCCTCCTTCTCCTCCGGCTGAGGAGACCGCTGAAGTCGAGCCTGCTCCATCTGAGGCAGACCTTCAGCAGCAGCCGGATGCTTCTGAGCGTCCACAGTGCACTCGTCGTCGTCCTGCTCGATACGACGATTGACTCTGACTTACCTTCCCACGTCTTTGACTTCTCAGTACTCCATCCACATCAGTTTTGCTACTTCAGCTCGTCGACACTGCGGCTCTTCCTCGACGCCATTCCGGACTTCTCATCGTGGACGTCATTGGCAGCTTCATGGACTTCATCACGATCATCTCTGCCTACTTCAGACGTCGCCACTCTCTTACCACTCTACCCTGTACAGTACCCTGGTTGTGTCGCATGATGGTCTCCCTTTAGCCGGGTTCCTCTGAGTTGGGCTCTCCCTTGGCATACGCATAGGCATTGGGACCGTAGCGTTGCCCTGGCTTCCCATCTTACGGATCTAGCTCCGACCTCCCTCACTTTAGGAGTTATTTGCATGATTCCCTTACCCATCATCTTTCTACCCTTCGCCGGCCCTCACGCCCTAGTTAGGCCGCCCTGCATGCTTCATCTAGGTGCGCCCAGTATACCAGGCTCCCTTGTTCCCTTGTAGCAGTCACCCCTTAGTCGAGCATTACCCGCCCTGATGGTCTATCTGTTAGGGTCATTGGTTCTGTTCGCTCCCAGTTCCCTACCCTCATTGAGCCTGATGACATGTGTTTTCCCCTGTCACTATGTGTGGATGCCCTTAGGAGTTTTCGACCCCTAGGCTGCATTCGCCACCCTCAGAGACCATCCCACCCTTTGGTTTGCGACACACTTCTCATGTGACATATGGTTGTCTTGTTGATTGCTTTGATGCTCTCAGACAGAGGCTATTGCCTCCGACATTTCTAGGATTTAGTTGTTCTGCTTTTGATGTTCTTAGGACTTATACACTAGTCAGTTGTTACCAGACTGAGGCTAGTGCCTCCAACATTCTAGGATCTAGTTGTCACTACTTTCTACTTTCCTATGACATATATGCTAGTTAGTTGCCTTTGCTTTCCTAGGACATGTATGTTAGTTAGTTGCTTCTACTTTCACTTAGGCTGTTAGCTGTGACATTGTTGTTTTGTGACATTTTATATCCTAGGTTGCATCGCATGGACTCAGCATGGAGCTTGCTCCGCATCCTAGACTACTCATGTTTTCTTTTCTTTGGTAGAGTTCCGCTTCTTCGCGGAAGCCCCCTTGGCCTGTTCTCACAGGCCTGTGTTGTATTCGGGGTAGGCCAGTCCAGGCCGGTACCTCTGTCAGTACCAGCCAGTCCAGTCCAGTCCCGTCAGTCCGCTGGGGTATACCCCAGCCATTGTCTGTTTTCAGTCTCATTCTTCACTTGCACATTTTGTAGTACGTGCGTTGGAGTCTTGCGTGGGGAGCTGCGCTGTGCACCTTGCTCCTTCCTTCTTCCTCCATCTCCATTTCTGTCACTAGCGGAGCACCACACCTGGTGGGTCCGCTACATGAGAGTATCACGATGTTTTCCCATCGTCGTTCTCGTACGCCGGCATCCCACTGATGCGCGATATCGAGCACTCCATCCAGCTGGTGCCTGACTATCGTGTTCCCCACCAGACACCCTACAGACTCTCAATTCCCGAGGCCACCGAACTCAGGCGTCAGCTTGAGCAGCTCCTGAGACTAGGTTTCATTAAACCAGCAACTCCCCGTGGGGTGCACCCGTCCTCTTTGCTCGCAAAGAGGATGAAACTCTCCGTCTCTGCATCGACCATCGAGGTTTCAACCGCTACACGGCTAAGAATAGCTACCCATGCCTCGTTCCGACGAGTTGTTCGACCGCCTAGCAGGCAACCGCTTCTTTACGAAGATTGATCTTTGTAGCAGTTACCATCAGATCCGCGTCACTGCAGCGGACCAGCCGAAGACAGCGTTCCGATCGCACTTGGACTACTGCGAGTTTACGGTCATGTCATTCAGCCTCACCAACGCACTCGCTACCTTCCAGAGGGCGATGAACGACATCTTCAGGGATATCCTGGAGTAGTATGTTCTCATCTACCTCGACGATATCTTGATCCACAACTATAACATTGAGGAGCATCTCAGACACCTTCGCGACGTCCTTGACCGCTTGCGCAGACATGGCTTCTATGCCAAGCTGAGCAAGTGCCGCTTTGCCCATCACAAAGTGGATTTCTCAGGACACTACGTGTCTGACCAGGGTCTCCACATGGATGACGCGAAGGTCACTGCTATTGCAGAGTGGCCCATCCCCACATCCGCCAAGCAGCTTCACAGCTTCCTGGGCCTCACTAACTACTATAATAATTTCATCCAGGGATACGCTAGGTATTCCTACGTCCTTACCTTCACCCTTGTCCGGAAGAACCCGCCATGGGTTTGGACACCCCTTCACGAGGACGCCTTATGCGCCCTCGAAAAGGCGGTGACATGTGCACCGGTTCTTCAGCTACCCGATTTTGATCGCCCTTTTATCCTTACCACCGATGCGTCAGACTTTGCTGTAAAAGCTGTGCTTTCTCAAATTTTCCCTTCCTCCCCTGATTCCTCTCATCCTCGTATCCCTCACTTCCCAACCCCTACCCCTACCACTGCTTCCCGCCTGACGCCTACTTGTTCAGCTACTTACGAGCCTTCTATTGATTTTTCTCCTACCATCGTCGAGGACGGCACTGTCAAGTCTCACTTAGGTGATTGCCTGATAGCCTTCTACTCCGGTCAACTCCTGCCCACCGAGATAAACTACACCGCAGATGAACGTGAGGTTCTCGCAGTAGTTTATGTCGCTCGACACTAGTGTCACTACCTGCACGGGGAAATATTTACAATGCGCATGGACAACTCTATTGGCCAGGCTTTTCTGACAAAGTCGAAGATCACTCCTCGACAGACTCACTAGTGGCGCGACCTATCCGAGTTTTGTTTCACCACGGAGCACATCAAGGGTGAGACTAATTAGGTCGCAAATGCCTTATCCCGACGCCCTGACCATGATCAGGAGCAGATCCAGCTCGCTGCCATCTCGGTCACCACCGTCCACCACTCGGTGATCGACGAGTTTCACACTCAGTATCGCCACTGCCCCGACTATCGCGTCATCCATGCAACCCTTCGGAGTGGCAAGACCGTCCCGGACTACTTTCTCGGGGACAACGGTCTTGTGTACTGGAACGGTTCACAAGGCACCAGAGAGCCCCGCATTTGCGTTCCCTCCACTGGACAACTACGTGTCCGGGCAGTAGCAGAGTTCCATGACCAGACAGCCGTCGGTAATTTGGGCTTCCACAAGACGTTGGCTCGTGTGAGCCGCCTGTACGTCTGGCCTAAACGCAAGGACTTTGTGAAGGACTACGTCACAGAGTATCCCATCTGTCAGGAGGTGAACAGTGCGAACCACTTGCCTTAGGTGAACAACCTCTTCCTATCCCAAAGGGTCGTTGGCAGTCCATCTTGATGGACTTTATCGGTCCTCTTCGTCCTCCAATCCCCCGCGATCATGATGCTTTCTTGACCGTTGTCGACCGCTTCACGAAGCGTGCACGCTTTGTTCCGTGCCGCTATGCCATCCGTGCATGTGAGTTCGCCGACATCGTGTTTGACCGAGTCGTGTGTGACCACGGTTTACCTCTGAGCATCATATCTGACTGTGACCTGCGCTTTACCAGCCGATTCGAATGACGGCTCCACGAGGTATACGGCACCCAGCTCCGCTTCTCCTTGTCTTACTGTCCCCAGACTGATGGTCAGACCGAGGTCACGAACAAGACTCTCGGAGATATTCTCCGAAAGATTGTTCGTGACGACCAACAGTGGGATCTCTATCTTGCCCACGCGGAGATAGCCTACGACCACGGCGTCTCGCCAGCCACGGGGATCTCGCCTTACTATTGCAACCTCGGCTATCACTCTCGTGTTCCCGCAGACTTCCTTCGACCGTCACAAATGCACCCCGACACGAGTTATCCCGCGTTGGATGATTGGGTTGCACACATGACGTCGATCATGAAGACCGCGCATGAGCATATAGCCGCTTTCCAGACTCGCATGACAACACGTGCGAACCGATCGAGGATAGATCATCCATTCAAAGTCGGTGATGATGTGTTTATGGACACCCTCCACTTACAGCTCAAAGCGGACACGCTTCTCAAGTTTTGGCGTCGCTTCGTTGACCCATGCCTCATTCTCCAGGTCGTCGGTTCTTATACTGCTTCTAGCCTGGTCAGCTTCCGTGTGAAGCTGCCCGACTACCTACCCCAGGCTCGTGTGCACGATGTCTACCACATCTCGTTACTGCGTCCCTACCGTAGACCGTCTGTGCGTTTTGTTGGATGACCATAGAGCCCTCCACCCATCATGGTGGACGGCCACGAGGAGTTCCTCATTTCACACATCATTGGTTGTCGAGTCCCCGACTACAACTCTCCCCATGTCGAGTATCTCGTACGTTGGAAGGGTTACCCTTATGAGGAGGTTACTTGGGAGCCCCTCAAGCACTTGCAGCACGCTCGCATGTTGGTGCGTGCCTAAGACCGTGCTCGTCGTGCTGGGTTGACTGCTCCTCCTCAGCCCACCGACCCTCCTCCTTCTCCCTTGGCTAAGGAGACCGCTAAAGTCGAGCCTGCTCCATCTGAGGCAGACCTTCAGGAGCAACCGGGTGCTTCTGAGCATCCACAGCGCACTCGTCGTCGTCCTGCTCGATATGACGATTGACTCTGACTTATCTTCCCACGTCTTTGATGTCTCAGTACCCCATCCACTCCAGTTTTGCCACTTCAGCTCGTCGACGTTGCGTCTCTTCCTCGATGGCATTCTAGACTTCTTATCATGGACGTTATAAGCAGCTTCATGGACTTCGTCACGATCATCTCTGCCTACTTCAGACGTCATCACTCTCTTACTACTTTACCCTGTACAGTACCCTGGTTGTGTCGCATGATGGTCTCCCTTGGCTGGGTTTCTTTGAGTTGGGTTCTCCCTTGGTATACGCATTGGCATCGGGACCGTAGCGTTGCCTTGGCTTCCCAGCTTACGGATCCATCTCCGACTTCCTCCACCTTAGGAGTCATTTGCATGATTCCCTTATCCATCACTTTTTTCTACCCTCTGTCGGCCCTCACACCCTAGTTAGGC